TCATGGAACCGCAGAGGGGGAGACCGAAAGTCTCCCTCCCCCCGGGCAGGGAACCAACCTCCTCTTTGGAGAAATGTTCCTTTACTGCACACGGACGTCCCGGGGCGGACCTCGGCGATGGCCGAGACCTAAGGCCTTGGGTAAGTCAGGTCGGTTTCTGACCACAGACCAGCGCGGCAGACGGAGGGCGCCCGAGGAGACCACTGGCGTCGGAAACACTGCGCTGGCCGGTGGCGTGGAGGCTTAGCCCCCGTAATCAGTCCGAGAGAAACGCGATGAACAGAGGGTCTAATTTAGCCTTTTTTGCAGGAGCTGAACTCTTCTGCGACTTTATCCGAAAAGAGAGATATCCCAGATCCTCTCTGGCCTGGACAATGCCCGGGTTGTGGCCAGAGTCCGGACCGTTCTAAGAAGGAGTTTGCCAAGGGGCAGACTCGGTGGAGAAATTAGACCGGGGTCACTGCGCCAATAGGGAGCGGGGCGTGTTGACGGCAGGTGTTCATTTGGTTCTTGCTTTCCCGGGCTGGGAATGCTGGGAATGGTGGGGCAGGGACAGGGGTGTCCCGGACAATGGCAAGGGTGTCATAATTCCCAGGCGTCCAGCCAGGCTCTGCCACCCACCAGCTCTGCGACCTCGTGACGTGACTGAACCCGTCTGGACCTTGGTTTCTCTCTCGTGGTGGATTAGAGAACTCAGAAGCCGCGTCTCCGCTCCGGAGGTGATGGCGGTGAAGGCGTGCACGACTCTGAATGGACTCGACGCCGCTTGATGGGCAGATTGTTACGTCGTGTGATTTGTATCTCAGCCCAGCGTCTGTGCATAGAGTTCCCAGCTCTGAACATTTTCAAGTAGCCCACTTAACGCATTTCAGACGAAGACAAAGTTGATTAAGGTCGGTCTTTTGCAAATCAGGGACCAGGACTGTGGCAAACAGATGGTGTCTCTCTCTCTCTGTGTCTCTCAGTGACGGGCAAGTGACAATGACTGATAACTGCCTGGTTCGCCGATCCTTCTTTGCTGCTCCCTCCCGACCTCCGAGGGAAAGGTCCCTCCCTTTCCAGGGAATGAAGAACCGAAAGCCCAGGGATTGTGCTCGGGCGGGCGCGCATGGGGCCCGGCGGGAAAGCAGGAGAACAGAATGTAACTCCTGCCTGTAGCACTGGGGGCCGGCACCCACGTGCATAGTCATTCAATACATTGTTAAATCTTGTCGGGGCACAGCTTGAGTCGTTAGAGACATACACAAATACCTTTTAAAGTGTGTTTACCGGTTTTAGGTGGGGAGGGGGGGAGAGAAACATCTACGGGTTGCCTCTCGTTTGCGCCCTGACTGGGAATCGAACCTCCGACTTTTTCGAACATGGGATGATGCTCCAACCAGCTGAGCCACACTGGCCAGGGCCACCGACAGATGTCTTCCAGACAGCATTGTGGTTTCCTGGGAAACGTGGTGCCTGAAACATAAAGATACTGCGTACAATAGCTCCGCCGGCGTTACCACTCCGTAGTCCGTATTCATTATGGTCGGTCGGGGTGGGACCTTCGGCCACACCTGTCTGCTTCTCTCCCCAGGCTTACCGTGTAGTGAGGACACTGTGGGCTTGTGTTAAGGTGACTTTTTTTTTTGTCCTTCCCCTTGCAGGGCCCTTCAACCTCTGCCACGGGACCCAGCAACAACAGGGAAAGTGGGAATGTAACACAGTTGATTTTTTTTTTTTTACGGGGAGGGGGTCACTCCCCCTTTCTCTCTTAACGCATTAACCAGAAAAATAACCAGAGAAATGAGCGGCCGCCAGGGGCCCAGCCGCTGATGGGTAAACACTTCTCAGAAGCAGGTTCTCTGCAAATTACGAGGCTCTCCAGGGAGGCAATGCATGTCTCTTGTTTCAATTTCTCGTTGGAGACGCAGATGAAAATGCACTTTGCAAAGGCCATAAGGATGTGTTTTTTCTCTCGGACGCATCAGGAAACAGGTCGAGCTGAGGCGTGTTTGCTGCCCCCTTTTCCCCCCAGCTCGCCTGACGCATTAATTCGCACATCTGTGCGGCGTTATTTTTTAAAGGCGGGGTGCCGGCGTCGATGATCAAGCCAAACTGATGGTGATTTTTGTCGTGGCTGCAGGACACGGTCCAACCCAAGCCTTTCTTAGGTCCGGGGACTTTCTCCCTGTGAAATCAGTGTCACTTAGGGTATCGCTTGGAATGGGACGTGAAAGTGCATCTGAAAGCGGGGATTTGGGGCGGAAGCGATTTTTTTTTTCAGATCCCTGTTGCCGTTTTCTTAGCAAATTGAACGGAAATTACATTTCCCCACAGTGACATGGTGCAGGGGGTGGTGGGGGGGCTTTTGTATTTGGGGGAGCTATGGTTGACCTGTTTACCCAGAAAATAAAACTGCGGGTAAACAGAACGGATGTTCTATTTTATTCGCCTACAGAGCAGGTATTCTACGGCTTGTCTATCAGCGACACGTGACCAATCGGATTGTGTGTTCAGCCTCAACCCGGGAAGGGCGTGGACTTAGGGGGAGGGGCCTGGGGTGCAGTAGGCGTTGCCGCGATTCTGAGTATTCCCTGCCGTCCCCAAGGCCGCCTGCAGATTTGATTTTGTTTTGTTTTGTTTTATTTTCAATCTCCACCCGATGATATGTTCTTTTCATTGATTTTAGAGCGAAAGGAAAGGGGTGGGGGAGAGAGACATCGGCTGGCTGCCTGCCTCGCGCGCGCCCCGACTCGGGATCGCGCCCCAAACCTTTCCGTGTACAGAAAACAACGCTCCCGCCCACCCAGGGCCTACAGGTTTTTAACGGACGAAAAAAAGTATCAAAAGGATAACATTTCAAGCCACAGGACAACCACACACAAGTCGGATTTCATACAGTCATCATGTCGCGGCGCCGGAGTTGAGCGCGGGGAGGGCCCAGCCCGAAACGTTGGCGTCTGGCCCTTTGCAGGTGAAGTTCGCCGACCTCGGCTCTGAGCCGTCTGTCGGGGCACCCGTGGGTGCTGGGATGCGCGTCTCTGAAGCCCTGGACGGAGCTCTGAAAACGGTTTGTCTGCATCTGTACTTGGGTTGTGCGGGGTTTTTTTGTTTGTTTTGCTTTGGTTTTTGGAGATCTGCACACCCCTGGTAGTTTGGGGCGACCGGCAAGGAGCCAGCCTCACAGAGGCCATCGGGAGAGACTCCTCCCACCAGGCGCTGGTCCCCGAACTCACAGCGCCTGTGTGTCTGTCTGTCTGGATGAGGGAATTGGACAACACAGCCCGTCGGGAGAAAGTTTGATTCCTTAGACCATTGCGCTGAGGGGGGCTCTTCCCCAAGCGCCAGCGGCTGGCGTCTCCCACAGCTCGGTGTGTCAGGAGAGGCTGCCGTTTCTGGTCTGCGGCCTGCGGGCCGCATGGGGCCCGGGCTGGCTGTGAAGGCGGCCCAACACAACATCATAAATGTACGTAAAACGTGATGAGATCGTTTTGTGATTACGTGTCGCAGTGTATTTAACGTGTGGCCCCGAGACACCAGAAGGTTGGACACCCCCTGACCAGCTCATGCAGGCTTCCTTGCAGAGCCCCCCCACCCCCGTCCGAGCCTGTGCGTGGCCGGGCAGCGGGCGGACCTTTCTCGAGGAAGGGTGTCCGTGGGGTGTCGAGGATCAAAGCATCCCTCTGCTCTGGCATTTGTGGAGGCCAAAGTGCCACCCACCGGAGTCACACAGCAACACTCACGGTCAGAGACGTGCGTGGGGTGCGAGCACTGGTCTTCCCCGGGCACTGGTTTCCACTGGCCCTGGGGCTTGGAGGGTGTGCTGGGAGCGGGAGGATGAACAACACCTTCAGGGGTGTGGTCCGCGCCACAGCAGCCGCTGCTCCAGATCTGCCAGCCAGGCCTGGGGACGGCCCGGCCCCATCCGCTCCCCCACGGGCTTGCCCTGCGTCTCCCGCCGCCCACGGACCACGCTGGCCCTCAGAGGCCTGCAAAGTGGTGGTGGGGGGGGTCGGGCAGATGCTGGATCAAGGAGCGTAAGCGGTCTGTGAGAAGCGGAACAGGATTGTCTCACGCGAGACAAGCCCTGACATTTAAAAAATTGATTTTAGAGAGGGAATCACTGATTTGTTGTCCACCTATGTATGCGTGAGTTGGTTGATCCCCGCCTGTGCCGTGAGTGGGAATTGAACCCACAACGCGGGCGCACCAGAGCTTCGGTTCACAGAGGCCCTCGCTTCCCGATGCAGTGCCATTGGAGGGACACCGCGTCCCCTCCGGGTGCTCCCGTCAAAAGCCAGAATGGGGGTCCGATCATTCTCCCACCGAGTCGGGGCCCGGCACCGAGGAAGACGAGAGACACCGCCAGGAGGCCGCCGTCCGCCAGCTCCGTCTGGTGGGGATTCTCAAGGCCCGGCCACACGCTTCTCCAGTGAACAAACTGCCAGGAGCAAGGCGGAGACACTCAGAGGAAAGGGGTGTGTAGGAGACGGGGGTAGATACCGCTGACGCCATGTTCATTCCATTTTTCCTTCTTTTTTATTTCTTTTTAAAGGGTGAAATTTCCTTTTTTTAAAAAAATATTTTATTTATTTTTAGAGAGGGAAGGGAGGGAGAAAGAAAGAGAGAGAGAGAGAGAGAGAGAGAGAGAAACATCAATGTGCACTTGCTGGGGCCTGTGGCCTGCAACCCAGGCATGTGCCCTGACTGGGAATCGAACCTGCGACATGTTGGTTCGCAGCCCGCGCTCAATCCACTGAGCTACGCCAGCCAGGTCCATTTTTATTTCTACTCCCTGCCGGAGGCTGTTGGCCGGGGATGCTGGTGCCCCTTGGGCTGCGGGCTGTTGGGCTTTTATTCCATCTGCAAGGGAACTCGCAGCTTGGCCGGCCGGCTGGGCAGAGAGCCCGGGAGTTAGTGACCTGGTGAGTAGATGTCTCTGGAACGTGTCCTCGGGCAGTGACGGGTGGACAGGTGGAGGGGGGTCCGTACCCAGCTCTCTCCGGTCCCTGGGGCAGGGATAATGCTCAGAGCCGCCAGCTGCGGTCTCTCCAGAGGAACTGACTTTGTTAGTCCCTCCCGAGTGGGATCCCCTTCGTGGGCTCACCTCCCGTCCCCCCCACCGCCAGCTCGGCCGGTCCCGTCTCCCAGTGAGCTGTTTGCACTGGGCCCCGTTTCCGGGGGAAACCAAACCCAGGGCCAGAGCAGCCCCGCACACCTTGCAGGCTTCCTCGGCAGCCGCGTCCTACGCACCACCGTCTGCAGAAAGGGGCGAGCCTGCTGGGGAAATGTGACCGCTGCGTGGACGGACCGCGGAGGGTGTGAAGGAGGATTCTTCGGTTTCTTTAGGTGTGAACGTTGTTTCTGGGTTAGGCTGTGCTAATGAGGGCTTGTCTCTTAGAGATGCACCGGGAGGGCTTTGCGGGTGAAATCCTGTGCTGTCTGGGGTTTGCTTTAAAATAATCAGCGGGGTGGGTGGGGCGGGGGCCGGGCGGGGATACTGGTGACGTCACGCGAGGCCGGGTGATGGCTGCGTCGTGCCTCCTTACGCTGCTCTGCCCACGTTTGAGACACCTTCAGAGTCTCCAAAATTAAACGTGAAGAGAAAACACGGTGAAGCCCGTGATGAGCAGCCTCCCGGTCCCTCTCCTCTGAGTCAAGACTGTGTTGTCCTCTTCCCAGCCTTGGCTCCAGGACACGCCAGCTCCGATCTGGGCGGGTCACCCCCCCAAAATTGATGCATTCCTTGGTTGATTCTTGTATGTGCCCCGACCGGGGATTGAACCCACAACCTTGGTGTATCAGGGTGATGCTCTAACCCACTGAGCTATCTAGCCAGGGTCCTGACTGTTCCATGCCAGGGAGCTGGACAGCAGGCTGGGGGTCAAGCCAGGTTGTGGGGCTCCTCCCGTAGAGCTGTGGCCCGCAGCTCCAGTGGGCTACCCACTAGATTGTGGTGCCCGGGGCGGGGGCGGGGTCAGGGTTTGGGGCAAGAGACTCGGAAGTGCCTCCCAGGTTCTCAGGAGCCAGATGGAGAGATCTGAGTCTGTGGTGTCTTCTAACCGCCCTTCGGTGACCCCAGGGGATAGACTTCCACCACTTCCCACCCCTCCTCTGTGTGTGTCTGCCATCCAGGGCTCCCTGCCCCGTTGGGTGACACAGTGGGCCGGGCCTGCAGTCCCCTCGCCCCACCCTGCAGCATGCGGGCAGTCGTGTGGACCCGCCTGGCCAGGCCGGCTGGGCCAGAAGGAGCTCTGTCTTTCCCCTTCCCTTCGTCTTCAGCGGCGGAGGGCTCAGGAAGGGAGATTCATGGTCCCGGTACGTCCTCCTCTGTAGAGTTCGTGAAAGGAGGAGACATGAAAACCGACTCTGCCTTAACCTTTAAAAGGCAACGTGTAAATCGTGCGAGTTCATTTGTGAATCTAGTCGTCGTCGTGTTGAAATGAAAACTCCTCCCGGCCCTCGCTCTTTACAGGAGGCTCGGTGTGTAAATGTCACCAGTCGGATTTCCCGAACAGTTCGCACCGCCAGTAACAGTCCGTCGATTTCTCGGAAGCATTTTCAGGGTTAGTCCGTAAGCTCCGTGTGCACGGTTCTCATCGAGCTGTGGATTCCAAAGTGACATTCATTTATTTATATTTTCTGCTGTTGTCACTTCTTTCTAGCTATTCATCCAGGAAACCGGACCTTGTCGGTAACTTGCTCAACAGTGGGATGAATGAATAACTTTGTTTTTAAGTTAAGACTTGGTATTTCAAAGTCACTGGTGTAATTGTTGGCTCCTGTTGAACGTAAGAAGTATACTAAGAACACTTAAAAAAAGATTTTATTTATTTATTTTTAGAGAGAGGGGAAGGGAAGGAGAAAGAGAGGGAGAGGAACATTAATGTGTGGCTGCCTCTTGAGCACCCCCTACTGGGGACCAGGCCTGCAACCCAGGCACGTGCCTTGCCTGGGAATGGAACTGGCAAACCTTTGGTTTGCAGGCTGGCACTTGATCCACGGAGCCACACCAGCCAGGCTAAGAACACTTTTAAGAAGATGATTTAAACTTTTGGAATAGGAAAGAGGACCACATCCTTTAAAAAATATGATCTTTTTTTTTAAAGGCCTCCCTAATTAGCTAGAAAACATGAATAATTCAGGGATTTCACCCTAAAATAAGTAGACACTAGCCTGTCATTCCTTGAAGGAGTTTGCAGTTCCTTTGGAGAGATTCCTCCCCACCCCGGCCTCTTCCACCCAATCTATTTTAAATCGCCCTCTTGGAAAGAGAGTCAACCAGAACCGGGGCCCGAAATGTCTGGTGCTTCTGGTGTCGTGCCTCTGGCCTTTGGCCCACACACGGCCTCTGGCTCGGGGGCCACGCCGGGTGCCGGGTTCCGGCGAATGCGTTCATGTATGGGGTCGGCCACCGAGGCCTTGTGACGAGGGAGAAACAGAAGAGGGTGTCACGGTCGTGTATAAGGATTTCTCCTTTTCTTATTTGTCCGCACAAAGCCCCTTTTGTTGTTCCTGCATGTGCGGTCATCGGGCAGCTCCGTCCCCGACGCACGACGCATAGCCGTGCCTGGTGCCAAGTACCTCGCTCCGTGCGGAGGGGCCGGCGGGGGAGGGGGCGGTCTTTGCTTCATTCGCATGTGCATAAAACGCCTTTGTTCACGAGAAAGAAAAGTGCCTCTTATTGTTTGGAAGCTGTGTGAGTTTTAAAAGAAACGGCCGGCCTCTATAGTATATCTTTCGGGGGGAAAAAAAATTAGCTTTGCTGATGCAGGAACCTCCTGTTAATAAGCATGAATCACCATCAGGGAAAACGCAAATGCATTGTGGTGAAGTCGGGGGCGACTTCGGGGCCGGTGGGAGGGGGTTTGTGTGTGAAAGTCCAGGGAACAAGGCCTGTGGAGTGGTGACTGTCAGTCCATTGTTTCGGCGTTGAGCTTCCTGGCAGCCAGAGCGAAAGTCAGAAGCAATGAGATCATCTTTTTTTCTGGGGCCCTGCAAAGATGACGGAGAGTGAGTCCACCCCAGGCATGGATGTGGCATGGGGCTGTCCCAGGAAAGACCAGCCAATCAGGAGAGCAGGTTGAGTACTACATGCTGGGGGGGGCGGGCACTCCAGTGTGGGAGGTGCCTCCTCCTGGGAGGGACGGCCACCTGCAGGGTGGTGGGGGAGGCACCCAGGGCCCTGCAGCTCCTCCTGGGAACCTGGGTATGCTCCCTGGCCCTTAGAAAAATGAGTTTCTAGCAAATTGGAACTTACTTGATTTCAGAGATGGTGCGCCTCCTGTAACTGGAGTAGTGAAAAGAAATTTTTATTTAAAAAAAATACTTCTTTCCTAGGAAAATGAAAAGTAGGAAACACTGTGTTATAGAGTATTAGTAATAGCTATTATCAATTATTAAATGTTATACTTATTTTTATAACGACTATTTCATCATATAACTAGAAAGTAATTACATAATTGACTTATAATAATAGATGTAATTTATATGACAAATCGATATATGGTGATTTTTACCTCATTCGACTCTTGGATGACCCCTTTAAATAAGCCAGCTTCTCAAGCGCATTAAAAATAGGTTTCGAATTACAAAAACCAGATTCATGCGCGTGAATTTCCCGGGACACACCCCCGAGGGCGGAGAGCGAGAAGAATGTTAACATTCATTTCTACCTTTTGTCTTATCAGCAGCTCAAAATAGACCCGAGGGCACTTAATTGTTACTATTTATTGGCTGCAACAGCAGCGCCTCAGCCCTGCAGCCTTGAACTGAGGTGAGGGGGTGGAGGCACCCGAGTATCTTGAGCAGAGCCCTGGGGGGAGGAGGCCGGGGTGGCCCAGGCCCTGCGGAGAGGGGAGGGGGAGGGGCCTGCCGGACACGTGCTTTTTCTCCTCCTCCGAGGGCGCGGGGACCCCAGTCCTTGCAGCCAGCCCTCTGGCTTCATCACTGTGACTTTTTTTTTTTAAAGAAATGATTTCATGTTTCAATGACACTTAACACTTCATGCTATTATTCTGTGTCAGTGTCAAGGGTCCAGCAAAGTGGTCGGCCGTCTCGTCCTCTCTCCTCTCCAGACCCGGCTGGCTGCGTCCCCTCTCCCCGCCCTGCGGTCTGGGGCCGCGAGAACCCCCCTGCACCGCAGGCCTTTCGCTCCGTCCATTCGGTGCAGCACCCGAACCCAGGGCCGTCGGGGCGTGGCTGGGCGGCCGCGGACATCACGGCTCCGACCTTCGGGCCTTGCAGACTCTGCCTTGTCCGGGTCCCCGAGCATCTCGGGAGTTGTCAGGTGACACCTCAGGAGGAAATTTCAGATAAGCTGTCAGGGTTCCTTCTTTGTGTCCTCCTTTTTCCTGGACATTGGGCCTCCCGTCCCCGTTTCCTAGGCGACAGACAGGGCGGTCAGCTCTCCCGCATCCAGCCCTCGCGGATTCCAGTTCCCGGCGCCCCGGCCTTCCCATCCCTCCTCACTCCCGAGTTGCGTCGTTGCGAGGGGACAGCTTCCAAAAAGGGAAAAGGCTGCTGTCAGCGCGCCTCCCTCCTGGGTGGCTCCCCGATGCCTCCGGAGATCGGGCGCCGTCTCCAATGTTGCCGTAACTTGGGCCTCACGGAGAGCTTCCCTCGCCTCCCGCCACTGCTCACAATTCAGCCCCGGGGGCCTCACTCTTTGTGTTTGTAACTGAGCGCTACCTGGTTCCCAGGCTGATAAAAGCAGAGCTGGGCGACCCCCCGGGCTGGGAGGACACTTGGAGGGGCCAGGAGAGAGGGGGCCTTTTGCCACAGTCTCAGCTCGCCCCTCCTCCTCCTCCTCCTCCTCTGGAAAGTATTCCAGTAAAGAAGTCGGCTCAGTTTCCTTGGTCACATCTAAATGGCCCAGGAGCCATCTTCGGGTCCCACCCCCAGTGGCTGGCGTCTTGTGGCTCCCGTAACCGCAAAATCCGGGTCTGCAGACCTGGCCCAGCTCCGGAGGTGCACGGTCTTTTTCCCATTCTCCCCGCGGATCTGGCTTTCTGGCTGTTTCAGCTGTTGCTTCGCAACAGGGCAGAGGATGGAGAAGCCCCATGTGTCTGGAAAGAGATGCCTGGACCAGAAGCAGACTGGGGCCGGGGTGACGTTTACCAGTGAAATGCCCAGCCATTCTCGATGAAAAGCCACACACACATGCTTGGAGCTTCCTAAATTGAATCTTTTCCGTTGCTGCTGGGTTGTAGGCCTGAGTGCCCGCTGCGCCCCCCATGGGCATCCTGAGACGGGTCTCCCTGCCCGGTGTGTGAGGGACCCCACTCTTTGCTCCGGCATCTGAGAATCTGCACCATCACCTGGCCCCGCCCCCTTTCTTCTCTCCCCTTCCCAGAGGCCAGGGAGGCTGCGAGACACCCAGCCGTGCAGGGGCAGCCCCGCCACCCCCGACCAAAGGGTCTCTGCTCCAGGCAGCCAGGGGCCCAGACGCAGAAACTCTGTCTTACCCGAGTCTCCTCTCATCCTGCCTCCTGCCGGGAGGCCTCTCATCAACGCTACGTCTGAAATGCCCGTGGACCCGCCCACTGGACCGCTCCCGCCTGCGGCCTCTCAGACTCCTCTCGGGGAGCCGCTGACAGGCCCCTCGCCTAGTGTGTTCGCCATAACTTGTACCCCGGCCTCTTCTGCTGTATTGTTTCCGTGGTTCCTCCTCGTGTTTCAGCTGAGTGTTGATCTGTGAACTCTTTGGTTGAACTTTGGTCTCCTGGGAGACAAGGATTGTACCTTATTTATCTTTGTTTCTTTTTTTAAAAGATTTTATTTATTTATTTTTAGAGAGGGAAGGGGGGAGAAAGAGAGAGAAAGAGAAGCATCAATGTGCGGTTGCTGGGGGTCATGGCCTGCAACCCAGGCATGTGCCCTGACTGGGAATCGAATCTGCGACGCTTTGGTTCACAGCCCGTGCTCAATCCACTGAGCTACGCCAGCCAGGGCTTTATTTATCTTTGTTTCTACAGGAGCACCTACTCTGTGCCTTACAGCAGAAGCATAATACATATCTGCCGAGTGAGTGAGGTTGTGTGTCTTCCCAGGTCCTTAGGTACTTATTCCTCCCAGTGATTTTCTTAAAGGACTTAGACAAAAAAAGAAAAAAAAAATCCAGCGAGCCGCCTCCGAGGGGTTTCTTCCTTCCTGTGGGTGTGCGGTCACTCGGGTCCGACACTGTGACCACACAGATCACTGTCCGATGCGATTGTCTGTCTTTGTTTCTGCAGCTCTTCAGCGAAAAAATCAGTGGCATCGAAGGAACGAGACTAGATGACGAGTTCCTTGACATGGAGAGGGTAAGAGGGCGTTCCTGCGTCCCTGGTGGCCCGAACCTGACCTTCACGTGAGAGGGGCAGGCGGGTGCCGCGCGGGTGGTCAGAGGGTGGGGGTCTAGGGAGCCCGGGCTCAGGGGCCGGTCCCGGAGCCCAAGAGCCAGGCGTTTCACGCGTCTAAGCCCGGCCTTGGCTGTGACGATGGGGTGCGGTCCCCCCGTTCCTGCTAGTGGACGAAACTCAGAACGCTCCAAAGACGGTCAGCCTTGGCCAGCAGCTGACACGGTCCCAGCGGTTGCACCTCTGTGCCTCGGGCAGTCAGTGCATGTCTGTGGGACGAGACGCTTCCCCTGTATCAATACCGGTTTCCTGGGTCACAGCAGCTGTGCAACCAACCACGTGTCCTGAGGCTGCCCCGGAGCCGGGTCCGTGGCGCAGGGTGGCTGACGCGAGGGCCCTGCCCACCCCCCACAGCCCTGCTGACGGCGAGGCAGAACACGCCTGTGTGGGACAGTGTCAGGGAGGCCGTGGCCGGGCTCGCACGGAAGTGACCGGGTCACGTTCTGAAGGAAGACGGCGCTTCGCTGTCCCTGAGCGTGTTGTTGCCCACGCGGGGGCGTCCCCAGGGATCGCCAGCCCCCTCGGCGCCCCTCCCTCTGCTTAGGTGACAGTCACTCCTCTCTTTGTGTCTCTGGGAATCCGACGTTTGTCACTTACCCACATGCAATGTGCTTTTGCTTTTTCTTTTTTAAGAAAATAGATGTCACCAATAAAGCTGTCGCAGAAATCCTTTCAAAAGCCACGGAATATCTTCAGCCGAATCCAGGTAAAGTCGGAGAATGCCTGGAACTCTTACTATTCCATTAATAGTAAGGGGCTACCAGCGGGGCAGACACTGGTAGCCCCCGCCGACTTGGCGCTTCTGTGACGTGACCTAGAAACCATGCCCACCGTGTCCCCATAATGATAAGCCTCTGCCCACTCCGGAGTGCATGGGAGGGGTCTCGGGGAGGTGGGAGCAGCCCGGCTCTGCTCAGCGAAGGTGTGTTAGGAGCTGCTTCAGAAACCCACTGCACGTTTCGTAAATGTTCGCCTGTTGAGTCATTTCCTCCTTTAAAAAAAAATGTGCGCCACCCTGTTCTGAAGGCGTGGATTAATTGGAAATGGCTTTCGAGTTGTAGCTCCGAGGCTCAAGTGACGAGGCGTGATGGTATGATAAGCAGCGGGGGCTCCGGAGTTAACGGCAGCTTCTCCCCGGGAGGTTTGAGATGCCTGGGTCACGAAGCAGCATTCTCTGTAAGACATTTAAAAAATTTTTTTTAAAGATTTTATTTATTTATTTTTAGAGAGGGAAGGGAGGGAGATAGAGAGAGAGAGAAACATCAATGTGTGGTTGCTGGGGGCCGTGGCCTGCAACCCAGGCATGTGCCCTGACTGGGAATCGAACCTGTGATGCTTTGGTTCCCAGCCCGTGCTCAATCCACTGAGCTACGCCAGCCAGGGCTTATAAGACATTTTTTTAAATTTAAAAAACATGTTTATTGATTTGAGAGAGAGGAAGGCAAAAAGAGAAAGAGAGGGAAACATCAATACAAGTGAGAAACATCGATTGGCTGCCTCCCTCCCGTACTCGCCCTGACCGGGAATCGAACCCACAGCCTTTTGGTGCAAAGGATGATGCTCCAATAAGTCAGCCGCCCGGCCAGGGCCAGGGAGCGGCATTCCTGATGGGCTGTAGATTATAGAAACTGATAGAGGTGTCCAAGCCTTGAATCCTGTGGATTTCTGAAACTGCCTGTACTTTTTAGAAACTGATTATTTATCTGCAGTGACTGTGACGCCTCTCCCCTCTCCCGGCCCCGGGCCTTGGCGGGAGGAAGCAGCCCAGACCAAACCGTCTGAAAAATCTAGAAAGTAACACACTTATAAACATCAGTTGTGTAAAAAGCTTGGCCCCGGGCGGTTGGTGGGTATGGCATTCTTTAGGCCTGTGTGGATGGCTGTGGTTTGCAAGTCGTCATAACACCTCTGCTCCCGGCCTCATGAGTGGTGGGGGTGAAGCACCCAAGTTCCTTTTGCTGATGAGTCGGCCAGCGCCTCCCGGGGTTCTGAGACCTGCCGTGAAGCCGCACCGAGGTCCTCCCTTCCCGGGACTGACCTTGGAATGGGATGGGGGGGACACGGGTTGGCAGTGAACGTGTCCCCGTGGCCAGAGGCCCTGGCCGTTCCCAGGGAAGGAGGAAGAGGCCTCACAGTCTCTACTGCAGTGTGACAGCTTCACTCACTGGCCCCTCGCTACACACAGTTCCACCCTGGGAAGGAGGAAAGTGTGTTTGTGTGTGTGTGTGTGTGCCCACATGTGTGTGCATGTTGGGGGCGTGATGGCGTTGCACCCGGGGACCAGGCAGGTCCGTGCTCAGAGGCCGAGGTGGGCAAAGTTGTCCCTGGGAAGGTCTGAAGCCTCGATGCTCGAGGCGTGGTCCCCGCAACCGGCAGGGCCCGCATTCCCCCCGGGGAAGCCGTGGGGAGGGAGTCCACTCACCCCAGACCGACTGCATCAGACTCTGCATTGGCCCAGGGGCCTGGGGGACTGGCAGACGTTCGAACAAATATTCAATTATTAAAGTAAAAGAAAAGGAAAGCGTACGCTTTTGCTAGCTGAACTCATCTCAAGCCCCCAAAGCTGGGGTACGATTCTTCTGTTCGGTCCACACTCAACGTTTCACAGGTATCTTCCAGCTGGGCCTGTGTTAATTTCTTCCGAGGCCCAGCCAGCCTGCTCTTCATGGGCAAACACCTTAGCATCCCCGCTCCTACACCTTCTGTTTCGGCACGTTTTAGAGGCACCTTTCCACCTTCTTTTCAGCGTAGGGCGGTGTTTTCCTTTCCGCACACCAACCCAAGTCGCGGGCTCAGTTGCATCTTGTGTAATCTGCCTCCCGGGCGCTAGGCGGCGCTCCCGAGGGCGGACGCTGTCTTAGGTCCTGAAAACCCACGCAGCTGAGCCCTGAGCCCCCCACCCCTGGCAAGGAATGGGGAAGCCCCCAGGAGAGGCGCACACGGTCCCTTCTTGCCTCGGGTCCCTGGCATCGGGTTAGGGCGACCTCGATTTCACGTGCCGCGTGTGTCACATGCTCCGTGTGCGCCGCTCCAATTCGTCACTCGAAGGAATTACAAATGACGATGTTTTTAAGCATACAGAGCTAAGCTAGGAATGCTGAACACTGTGTCGAAGATCCGAGGGCAGGTGAAGACCACCGGGTACCCGCAGACGGAGGGCTTGCTGGGCGACTGCATGCTGAAGTACGGCCGGGAGCTCGGCGACGGCTCCGCCTTCGGTGAGTGCGTGCGCGCCGGGCGCGCGCCTGGAGAGCGGGCGCGCCCCTCGTGGCCCGTAGGTTATCCACGGAGCCTTTCAGGGGTGTCCAACCCGCGGCTCGCGGGATGGCTGTGAACAGGGTGTGAAGGGGGTGTGAACTGAACTTCATATAGTAAGTCTTCCGGGAGGTTTTGGTCCTTTCGCTACTCGTGTGGTGGTGACAAGGAAGGATATAGAAGCTGAGAATTCAGGTATTTGGCCAGAGTAAATCATCTCTGAAATCGGGAGAAAGATATTTTGAAAACTTAAAAAAAAACAAACAAACCCAAATGTTAGCACATGATTAGTCACAGAGGGCAACAATGTTCTTCAGAGAAGCAGAGCATGGATTTTATTTTGTTCCCTGTGAATGGGGGTGAGGTGGGCTTTTTCTTCTTTCTTTTGTAATCCTGAGGGCAGACCCGCTGGGGAACAGGTGAGGCTGCCAGGTGGGCGGGCACCCAGGGGCATCCCTGCCAGGGTGATGGCGTGGGGGGCGTGGATAGATGGACAGTCTGGGGGCCTCCCAGGTGCCCAGCGACGCCCGGGGACTTGGGGTGAGGAAGGGGGCTGATGTCAGGCGGGGCGGGCGGTCAGGCGTGGGTGGGTCCGCGCAGCTCGGAGGAGGGGCTGTGCTGAGGGACGCTTTCTTGGGGCCCTGCGGCAGCACCTTCTCTGGGACCTCCCTGGTGTGCAGGAGCCGCAGGGGACAGGGACGGAGCCTCAGGCCCGGCTGGAATCGGCAGCACTCACATTGGGGCAGGGAGAGACGGTGTCTGATCCATGCAGAAGGCTGTCTTTGGGGTCTTCGAGGAAAGATACTTGGATATGTTTCTTTTGAAGCTAAATTACCTGGCGACCTGGGGCATGGGTTGCCAGAGTGGGGGGCAGAAGCACAACCTCCCCCCGCCCCCGCCCCCCGCCCATTTCTGACTTGTCGGGCAGGGAAGAGTCTCCAGGCTGGCAAAGGGCGTCCCATGTCCATCGGAGTGGCACAGAACCAGACAACTGAGAGTTCGTGAAGGAAGCTGAGCCCCTCGGGAGGCAGGGAGCTGCCAGTGGGCCACAGGGAGTCCCAGCCCTCTGTGGGTTAGAGTAATATTTCCACTGACATTTTGCAAGGTCCTATGACGTACACTATCTAGTGTACTTCTTAAAAAAAGCCATTAAGACGATGATGCTATCCCAGCTTTTGCAGGCGGATAAACGGTGTTCCCCCTCCACCAACAGGTGAGACTCTTGAAGGTCAGAATTTGTTAGAAATACAAATTTTGGGGCTGGACTTCAAGGTCTTTCAGCCAGGGAGCTGAGAGAGACCACAAGCCCCACCCTTTTACAAACTCCGTCTGGAAACACCCTCCCCAAACAGGAAAACTAGCTCGGTCTAGGGCGGCCTGTCCCAGGGATGTCTGTAAAAGAAGCTGCAGCCTCACTGCGCGCTGCTGCAAGGACCCCGCCCTTGCAAAAGAACCAGCGGGGTAGCCGGTGCCCAGGTACCAGGCTGTCATCCCGCCAGAGCTGCCTGTCACGGCCCAGGCAGACCCCGCCCCCAATGCTGGGAACGCCCCCTGCGGCGCTGGTGCCAGGCTTTCTCTGACGTCAGGCCAGGCCGGGATGGGAGCCTTGGAACCCTCTGAAGGACAGGGTCAGCCTCAGGCAGCCAGCGCCCTGATGCGATTTTGTTCCTTTATTTCTATTGTGACTTTCTTGGTTGACGCTCAGCCCCGATGATGACTCCATCCTTTGATTCTTTACAAAGAGCTGCTGTGTCCTGAAGCCTTTCTAAGAAACCCTGGGTACCAGCTCACAAAAGTGCGTGTTTTTTTTTGGTATTTTTTTAATGGAGCTTTACCCCCACCTAGTGGCCAGAATGGTAAGTGCCTCGGCCTGTCAGCCTCCAGGGGAGCTTTAGGAAGACTATGTGGAACGTCGAAAAGAAATAGAGTTTTTTAAACAGTTTATTTCTGAGTCAGTCCCAGAGCGAAGACCTTGTTAAGCCATCATCTGCAGACTTTGGGAAAGGAATAAATATCACCGCCAACCTTCCCGCCCTCTGCTAACGGGTCCTTTTCACGGGTATTTCCTATTCCAGGCGGCGCGCTGATAGATGTTGGCGAATCCATGAAGCTCATGGCCGAGGTGAAAGACGCCCTTGATATTAACGTAAAGCAAACATTTATTGATCCACTTCAGTTACTGCAAGACAAAGACTTAAAAGAGATCGGGGTAAGTTTTCTCGGCTGGAAACCCACCTGTTGCCGCTTCAAAGGATGTTTATGTTTAAAGCCATTAGGACGGTTCTGTAGGGACCCAGGGGAAGCATCGAATGATTGTGAGCAGTGGGAAAATAAGCGGCCAGGGATGTCCTCCCGGCCGTCTTGGTAGGAGCCCCTTGTAGCTCGTCGAAGCCAGCGAGAAACCAAGCTCAGTGCACCTGTTTCCGCAGTGGTTTCTCACGGGAAAGGACTCCAAGGCTGTGTGGCGGGTGTTTGACCCTGAGAACATGTTGCAGTCATTCGATCCATTGGACGCTTTGCATGAATGGTCGTCCTTGCCCCCGACCTCATTTCCGTTTTGGTTGACGATGGCAGCCGGCCACCCAGAGCACGCACGTGGGTGCGGGTGTCGCATGGCTCGTAGCTCCTGCTCAGCTTGCTCTGTCGTGGTCGGGGGACTCTGCGGGAGACGCAGCAGGGGTGTCCAACCCGCAGCCCAGGACGGCTGTGAATGCGGCCCAACACAGCATCATAAATTTAGTTGAGACATTATGAGATTTTTCTGTGTGTGTGTGTGGTTACATGTTGCAGTGTGTTTAATGTGGGGCCCAAGACAACTGCTCTTCTTTTTCCCGTGTGGCCCAGAGACACCAAAAAGTCGGACACCCCTGTAAGAGGATGACAGAAACGAGTGTTTTTATCATCCCCTGCTTAGTGAGGAGTTGGGGATCATGCCAAAACGGGTAGCCCTGTGTTTGGTATAGTTAGCATGGCTGGAAGTTCTTCGGACACGAGCAGAGCCAAAGCGAGGGAAGGGCTCTGTGACGGACCCCGGGAGACGGAACCTGAGTGTCGATGCCGTGTCCTTCTGCTCCAGATCGACTCTCCTCCATTCTGTTACCCATTCACTCACCCACCCATCCATTCATTTCCTGAATACTCCTCGAGAGTTGGCAGTGACCTCTCACAGATGCCGAGGTGCCACCACCACAGAATGTGAGGCGGGCTCCTGCCCCCTGCAGTTGAGGCCCGGGAGAAACACTGGTTCTCCTTGGAGAAAGAAGGAGCGCCTGTCTCTCTGTGCCGCCTGGCGAGCGGAGCCGTGGCTAAGGGGCTGTCTCCTCCATCTCTCAGCACCACCTGAAGAAGCTGGAGGGCCGGCGCCTGGACTACGATTATAAGAAGAAGCGAGTAGGTAAGATTCCAGACGAAGAAGTCAGACAAGCGGTAGAAAAATTTGAAGAGTCAAAGGAGCTGGCTGAACGGAGCATGTTTAATTTTTTAGAAAACGATGTAAGTATTTGACCCCAGCCAGGAGGCTTGCGTGGGAATGGACCACGTCCACTCGGTGTGTGTGGGGGGAGCTCTGGTGCCTTGGTTGTCAGAAAAGTTTCTAGAACTTTCCGTCCCCCTTCTCTCCTGCCTCTGAGATAGCTTTGGACATTCAGCAAGTCCCAGCTGGAGTCTCGGATCTTGGGGCGTCCAGTTTACCCCAGGATTGCTTCCCAGCTGTGCTGGCGTCGGCCCCGGGCAGGTGGGGTGTCACAGCAGGAATTGGCTGGTTGCTAGCCTCTGTACTTGAGGCCATAGCGTCGCTGGTTTTGGGAATGGAGATCCCATGTCGTGCGTGGTTTGCGGTTGCGTGAGGCAGTGAAAATCGCTCTGGGTAGCAGATCGCTGGAGGGGGAGCCTCACCCACCACCCAGTGCTCAGACGCCTTCAGTTGTCAGAGCAAATGTTCGGGACATCCAGTCACGACCGAGGTTCTGCAGCTGTGCTGCAGTGGCGCTGCTGCACTCGGGGACTTCGGGGGTCTCGGGACGTGGCCCTGGGAAGGGCGGATGTGCCGTGTGCTGTGATGCTGGCCACCAGCTGTGTGTGTCCAAGAGGAGTTAGATTAGATGGAATTACGGCGGATGGTAGGATGAGGTTCTTAGGGTTGGTGATGAGGGGTGGTTGAGTGCGTTTCAGTGACCGATGGTCATCTCCCGCTGGACCTTGCTGAATGGGTGCCGTGGGCTGTCAAAGCTCAGCACTCGCTCTGGACCCATCTGTTGAACTTTTATTTATTTTAAATTCTTTTATTTATTCATTTCTTAGAGTGAGAGAAACATCAACTTATTCCACTTACGGATGCATTCATTGGTTGATTCTTCTATGTGCCCTGACCGGGGGTCGAACCTGCAACCTTGGCTTAATGGAGACGATGCTCTAACCAACTGAGCTACCTGGCCAGGGCACTCTATGTTGAACTTTTAAAGTCCATGGGCACGAGTCAGAGGATTTCTGTGTCTTCAGAACCGTGTTCTACTTCCAGCAGTTCATTGGAAGGGACACCGAGGTCTTGCGTGGTCGAGTCGAGTCAAGGGAAGTGGACTGAGTCCCGGTGTGAGCCGCGGTGCTGTGCTGGGCGGGGCTGTGCCCAGTGTCAGCAAGACGTTAACCTAACCGGGGAGGAAAGGGTTTGCAACCCCACCTCCATTACACCGGAGCTCTCAAAAGTGCACTTTGCTGTGTGTCTCCTTGTACACGTTTTACCAGGTTTTTTATGTTTTGTGGAAAACGGGAAGGGGTGTGACAGTGTGTTCTGTTCTGTTGGTTGGTTTTACCGCAAGTCTATCCTGTTCCTCTCGGGAGTGTCCCCAAGCCACAGGCGATTTGGGTTTGGTTTTGTCTCAGGTTGCCATCTTTGTTTCTTGGGGCGTATTTGGAAAAGCATTTTCTGGTATATTGTGTATCAGATGCATGGATTCCTTCCAGCCCCGCACCCGTGGGTGGCGGGTCAACCCCTCGGGTTGATTCCCGTGTGAGATTTGTGGTCTCACCCACGTGCCCCATCAGGGCGGGGGGGCTGTCTCCGTCGCTCTGCCCTGGGTGGTTGACCCAGGAGACCTCAGTCCGAGGTCAGAAGTGATCTTTCCTCGTAGAAACTCAGTGTTTTGTCCACGTGGGAACGCTGACCTGTCTCCTGCGTGTCACGTGACAGTTAAGCCCCTCCCACCCTGCCCAGGCAAGAGAAGGAGCTCGTGAACTCCAGCCCGGGCCTCCGCCTCCTCATCCCAGGGAACCTTCCCCGAGTGGCCAGATTCAGAGGTTTGCCAGACTGAGCGGCGCAGCCGGTGACAGAAATGTCCCGCCTTCCGACGGGGTCTGGCGATCGCCAGGCTTGGGTTCGCTGTGCCCATGGTCCTGCCTGTCCAGGCGTTTAATTCCAAGTGCGGTTGAGACTCGGGGGAGCCACCTGCACCCGGCTCGCCGCTCGGGGCCCTGGGGACGGCCGGGAGAGCGCGGGTTCAGCAGGGAGGAGCAGAGAGGCCGCCGTGGCGCCTTGGGTCTTCGTGGTCCACAGGGGACTCAGAGCGTAGTGACCAGCTCTCCCCCAGTTGCACTTCCTCAGACACCCCCTACGTACATGCACTTTTCAGTTTTAATCCTCAGCCGAGGACATACTTTTCATTGCTTTGAGAGAGAGAGAGAGAGAGAGAGAGAGAGAGAGAGAGAGAGAGGGCAAGAGAGGGCAAGAGAGGGAGGCGAAGAGGAAGAGAAACATGGATCAGTTGCCTTCTTGTACACGCCCCGACCGGGGATCGAACCCGCAACCTGGGTGTGTGCCCCGACCAGGAATCGAAATTGTGACCCTTTGGTCCACAGGATGAAGCTCTGAACACCTGAGCCACAGTGGCCAGGGCCAGCCCGAGCCCATGTTGTAAGAGGCCCGGGGGTCCATTTCCTTCCCGAAGTCAGTCATCTCATGGCCACAAGTGCATCTCCCGATTACACGATCTTGCGTTCCGGCCACCCCAGAGAGGAGGGCGGGTGGTGAACCCTCCCAGCCCCACACGTACTGGGAAGAATGTTCATCGAGCTCTCTCTCATGGGGTCCCTTTACCCTGCACACAAGGCCACGTGGGTTTCAAAGTGGGTATTAACGTGGAAATTCGCTTTCCCGAAGACAGGGTGGCGGGGTGCGGGCTCACCCAGCCCGGGGCTGGGGCTCTCTCAGGAGAAAGCCCTTTCTCTCTGCAGCAGATGCCGCTCTGGTCTCGTGAGGACGGGGCGCTGGACTGGTTTTAAACGTACGTGTCAGAGCCAACGAGGTGAGAAATGCAAGGAATCTGTAGGATGTTGCAGGGGCCGAGCTGCCGCGGTTTTGTTTATTCGGTTTTGGAAATGTGGGGCCGGGCTTGTGTTTTCCCAGCCACAGAGCGCGGCAGGCCTCGGCGGCGGGGTTTCCTGGCCCCCGCGCCGGTCCCGCCCGGCGCGGCCCACGCGGGAAGCCACGTGGGTCTGAAATGCGCGCCGAGCCCGCGTTGGAGATGGCGTTGCCGCGGGCGGGGGCAGTGGAGTGTACGCAGAGAAAGCCGGGGCTATAACAGCGAGCGAAAGCAGTTGGACTGTGCGAGGCAGGCACCTCCGTGGTGGTTTTCCCGGCTGAGTCCCCGCGTGCGGGGGACAGGGCAGGGCCCACGTTGCCCCCGGCTGCGCATGCGCCGCGGACGGGCCGAGGAAGTGATGCGGCGGCTTGGGGGCGGGGCTGGGGAAGGGGGCTCAGATCGTGTTTTGTGTCTGTGTCTGGCTGCCGAGTGCGTGGGCTTCGTGCTGGGACCCCTGTCCCCTCCACCCAGCGGGCCTGCCTCGGGGGCTTCTGGAAATGAGCTTATGAACCCCCCTTTTCTGCTGCAACCGGGGAAGCTCCCAGGCCTGCCGGAAATGTCCTCGCATTATGCATCTCCAGGGCTTCCGGGCCTCCTTAGGGGACACAGCTTTTTGATTTTATTTTTTTTGTGTGTCCACTCTTACTTGGCCCAGCGTTCCCCAAGGTCTGGCTTCCTGGGACAGAGGGGTACCCCGTGCTCCACAGTTTATTCCTGCCGGCTGTGTGCCGCAGGGGAGGGATTTGGTGCCTGCACGGGGTGCTGAGCATCTGCCCTGGGGTCCCTCTCACCCGAGAAGAGCTCAGAGCTTCCTCGGCTCCGTCTCCTGACTGGACCCAGCTAGACAGGACCGAAGGAGACACCCCAGTCAGGAAGCAGTCCCTTTGCCCAGGGATGGTTTCCCTAGTAACGGCAAAAGCTTGATCTCCACTTCCAGATAGGTCACTGGGACTTTATAGCACACACATCTCCTGAGGACATCGTCTTGTTGGAGTAACAGACGTTTTGGCGGTGTTCAATCAGGTTTAGACCCAGGACTACGTTTGAACGTGTTTTGCCAGCATCTCCAGCTCTGTGCCAGGGCCCGCGGGCTCGGACCAGGTGGGGTGCTCTGAGAGGCACCCGAGCCCAGGGGGACGCAGGCTGCCCTGCAAAGCCGGCCGTGGTCCTGCCTCTCTGACCAGAGCAGGCTCTGGCCCCCGCGGAGTAATTTTTTCTGCTCCCACTGCAGGTAGAACAAGTCAGCCAGCTGGCCGTGTTTGTAGAGGCTGCGCTAGACTACCACAGGCAGTCCACCGAGATCCTGCAGGAGCTGCAGAGCAAGCTGCAGATGCGGTAAGAGCTCCCCCCCGCGCGCTGCAACCCCAGGGCTGCGAGTCGGAGCCGGCGGGCGTCACCCTGTCTTCCCGTCTCTCCGTCCATCCCCCCCCTTCCCCTCACCCGGCTCTGTTTGACTTTTCTCCCATGGGTGGGTGCAGGATCAGGCCGAGATAATACATATGTGGCGACTTCAGCCAGAAGGACAGAACTGGGAAAAGGGAGCTGGCAGTTTCTCTCCTCGTTCTTTTCTCTAAACCTTGCGTCCGTGACCCGTGTTTAGGGCGGCCAGGCAAAGCTCCTCGTTGGCTTTGAGTCCCGCCCCCGCAGAGCTGTGCCCCTCTCCCTGCCGCCTGAGGGTTCGGCTCCCCGTTAACACGCCAGGGGTGGTGATGGCGTGTGCTCCCTCCCCGACCTCTGGGGACGTGGCCAAGAGGGAGAGGGAGGGGAGTCCGTATCTGGAAAAAGACTCGATTTGTGCCGACAACTCAGCTCTCAGGCCATACCCGTCACCTTGACTCTGAGAGGCGTTGAGATTGAGAAAGTCCTTCTGAACGGTGACAGAGAGGTTGCTGTGTTCCTCATGTCTTCAAGGATCCGCGTGTCCTATGCTGCTTTGAAAACCAGCGACATCGTATACAATATGACACCCCTATGGTGTCACGGGGCAGTGTGACATCACTAGGATGTCACAGGCACAGTGACCCTGTTCATTAACATAAAGGGTTTTTAAAAAGGACCCTGTTTTTTGATGACAGAGCGCTGCTTTACACAGGATTAAGGTCATGGATGCGCTCGGAGGGATTTCACGGCAGAGGGGGGACAAACGGGGTGGACAGCCTGCGAGGCATCCGCGCTGTGGAAGGGCGGTCGCCTGGAGCTCACACGAGCGAGTGTGCATTTTCTGTCTCCTTCCAGGGCAAAGGAGGAAGAAGGCAGTTGTCATTGCCAGCTGCCTAGAGAGACTTTCCTAGACACATTGCAAATGCGCGGTTGAACTGTGACCTCTGGGGTATTACCGCCGGCCCTTGGGGCTACTCGAGAATCAGCATGTAGAAGTCACCCCCTAAGTCCGGGGCTCCTTGGGGCTGGACACTCTGCGTGGCTCCGGTGGCTCGTGACTCCCCTTCCGCTGCTGTGTGTTACAGGATATCGGTCGCATCCACCCTGCCCAAGCGAGAGTACAAGCCGCGGCCCCTGAAACGGAGTCCCAGCGAGCTCAACGGGGTGCCCACCTCCTCCACGGCGAAGTCAACAGGTGAGATGCCCGCTCTGTGGGCCCTGCACTCAGGCTGGGGGGAGGTGTCTGCCACCACGGAGCATTTGCTAACCGAGTGTGCTATGCTCTGTTCTGTGGAATGCCCTGAGACCCTGAAATTTTTTTGTTTTTTTGGTTGTTTGGTGACTCCTTCCCCTGCCCATGTGCAAGATGGTACCAGGTTCCCGCTCCGAAGCTTGCTTTTGTCAACGCGTCACTGTTTCTCGGAGTTATTTCCATGCCATGCCTGTAGATCACTATTTTTTTAAACAGCCTCCTACTTTTCCCTGTTCACGGCCACGAGGGTTGTTACCAGTGAAAGCCAGTATCTGTGGAATATTTCAGAGACCCTGGTGGGCTAGTCTTCCTTGGAAGTGAAGTCGCTTTGCTGCGTGACTGCAAGTTTTAAGTGACAGTAGATAGTGTATGACTGAGCTGCCCGCCCTCCTGCGCACGATGCTGTCAGTGCTGAGACACCTGCCTTCCCGAACCCGCGTCATGAGACTTTGGTTTTTGCCGAGTGTTCATGGGTAAAAAAGGGGTACTCCATCTTTTTTTTTTTTTTTTTCACTGTACTCGATCTTGATCTTTCTCGGATTAGTTAGTGACGTTAAATGTTTTTTTTTCCTGTATTTTAATTTGCCATTTGTATTTTTCTTATGTCTGAGTTGTCTGTGCATGTAATTCATGTTTTCTTTTGATTCATAAGAATTCTTTACCTATGTGGATAAAGATTAAGGCTCTTCTTCCCCCCAAATTTGTTAGTGAGTTTTTAGCATTCTTTGTATATTCTAAATACAAGTCTTTGGACATACTGGTGGTTTACAAATACTTTCTTTCACTCTGTAACTTCTCTTTAGTCTCTTTGCAGTGTTTTAGGTATCAAATTTAAAAAATTTTGATGACAAAATTTTGATGACAAAAATTGACCAATTTTTCCTTTTATGTTCATGCTTTCGATGTGAGTTCTGAGAATTCTTAGCCTTACATCCTGAAGATTTCCTCCCATGTTTTTTTCCCCAGAAATTTTACACTCTTTTACATTTTAGCCCGTGATCCACTTCGAGTTAGTTTTTGTGTCTGTGTGCGACTCTGGCCAGAGTTCTCCCCCATAACACCCTTCCCCCGTAAGCTCTGCAGGCAGGATTTTCTTCTCACCCCATTGCTATGCTTTACGGGTTTTTTTCTTTTTTCTTTTAACATTTTTTAAATTTTCCAATTATAGTCGACATCCATTATTATAGGAAGCGACCCCATGAAATAAAACAGTGACAACTGGTAGACCAACATAGCAGTCACACTTACTGATGAGCACTGACTGTGGGTCAGGGCATAGACCGAATCCTTCTTGCGTGTTTCCAGTGTTGCTGCCCTTCCCATTTTCCAGACGAGTAAGTGCAGTTTCCCCAAAAGGTCCCAGAGCCCGTCAACCAGAGCTGGGCAAGCGCACTGGGGTTTCATTTTACGTCAGAAGGAGTGCTGGGGGGCGGGGCCGTGTGTGAAGTGTTCAGGAACTTTGGGAATGGGTTCGTTTTCAAGATTCCTGATCCCAGGGAACCCTCGGCCGGCCAGGGGGCTGCTGTTGGGTTCTGACGTGGACGAGGGAACCCCGGCGAGGACAGAGGTCCCGGCTTCCTCGTGCGGACCGCGCCTGTCCGTTCTGGGGTTTTTCCTTCTTGGCCAGTAGCTCAGTCCCTGGGCGGATGACGTTGTCAAACCGGAGTTCACAGATGTGCAGAAGGTGGCTTTGAAGGAGGCTCCTCGGCACTGCCCGACAGGGGCCCACCCCTCCTCCGGGTCCTCGCTGCCTCCCCCTAAACGGCCCTCGGCAGTGGCGCTGGCCCCCAGCCCCAGCTCCCCCCACCAGCCCCAGCCCCGGCCCCCTTGATTTGTGGGTGGAATTTGCGAGCGTAGAGGGTCCCGCACGGTTTGTTTCTGAGGCACGGTTTCAAAAGGACATGGCATTTTATGGCCTGCATTAATGGGAAGTTACTTTCCATTAGGATTCTGAATGATTTGCACATAATGTTTATAAAGCGAAGGAAAAATGTCAAGCATTTCACTAACGATGGAAGGCAAGGCTCCCAGGACTCTGCCAGAAATGAAATCCAAGAACATTTTCTTCATCATTTCTTCTTCCTACAGAAAAATAAATTAAAAAAAAATTTAAAAAGGCGGGAGGAGATGAAAGGACATAGGTCAATTAGGCAGAACCTGTCGTGGGGCCGAGATGCAGTCTTGGAGACTATCATTTCTAGGTGCTTACGGGAAGGGCGAGAGCCAACCCTGGAGAAGGGGGGCGGGGGGGGGGCGGGAGTGGAAATCACATCTTGAAATGATGGATTGCAGACCAAGTCCAAGTGCAGGCCCTGGCTGGGAGAAAGCCCCTCCAGTCCAAGCCCGTGAGTATGGAGTCGTGACGCTTCGTCAGCCTGCGCTGTCCCCACACACCCGAGGAGGCCAAGAAAAGCCCTCGAACGGAACAGTGTGGCCGGGCAGTTCCCAGAAAACCACTGGGGGCTGAGGAAGGCGGTGTTAGAACTGGTCATCGCCGCTCATGCTTCTTCCCCCGCCCCCCCAGGTCATTTCCACCAGGCCCAGGTTGTCCCTTGGCGAATCAATTATGCATGTCAAGACTAGAGGACCCAGTATACTTTATATACTTTTTTACCAACGCATTTATTTACAAAGGTTTTTTTTTTCCACTGAAGTTCTTAAAGAGGGTACAAGTCTGTGGAATCCCAGCTGAGGGGTAATACCCTGCAGACTGGGGTCAGCTTCAGAAACGAGAAAGGCTGAGGCTGGCGACCAACCCCGGGTCCCCAAGGTGGGCCGCGGGCGTGTCAGCGCGATGCCACATAAATCTCCCCCGTGGCTCGCACGAGGACACTCTAGCCTCCTCTCGGTATGAAAGAGACTTTTGTGCCCTTCCGGATGCTTCTAAGGGGGCTCGGAAATGATGTCTCGGTCCGGCCCTCCCCCTCACTGGAACAGACTCTCCAGGATTACGTGAAAAAAAAGAAACACAGATTCAAAAGTGAAGTGTGAAGTCTGAAAACTGAAAGAGACGTGCGTTTTGCAAAGAGACATGCCTCTTTTTTTTTTTTTTAACCGAAATTTCCGAAGAGGAAATGAAATTTTCACGCGGCAGTGGGGATTGCTCAGTCAGGAGGTGATTTCTTACTTTTCTCTTCTTTCTTTCCCGTTCTTGTGTTTCTGGTTTTCTTTTCCCCTCCTTACCCGCCCCCTGCCCCGTGGTCCTGTCAGCTCTGAATTCTGTGGCTGCCACGTTTATCTTTTACAAGCACTGAGCAGCCCTCGAGAATGGAAAAGTGCGCAGGTTGAACGTTTTCTAATTGCTATATTTAAAAAAGTATTTATTTATTTTAATTGTATTTATTTATTTTTAGAGAGGGGAAGGGAAGGAGAAAGAGAGGGAGAGAAAGATCAATGTGTGGTTGGCTCCCACACGCCCCCTACTGGAGACCTGGCCCACAACCCAGATATGTGCCCTGACTGGGAATCGAACCGGTGATCCTATGGTTCACAGTCTGACGCTCAATCCATTGGGCCACACCAGCCAGGGCTATATTTTAAAAAATATTTTTAAAAATGAATATGTGAGCTATGATGGTTATTGTTGCATCAGTAGGTGTTGACGTGGGAAAGGGGAAGAGACCTTTTCTTATTTTTCAATCCAAAGGAAGCTGTAGAGCAGCAGGCCCTCTCCCAGCCGGGAGCGGTTTCCTGTACGGCTGCCAGCCTGTCGGGAGGGCGTTCGGAAAGCCTGCGAGGTGCGACTTCCAACTTAGTTGTGGCGGTCTCACCGCCGCTTGCCTAAAAGGCTGATACGGTTATATTATCTCAAATACTGCATATTGAAGAATGTTAACTGTATGTGCATATCCTAGAATGATATGTTCGGTCTTCAAGCTCGACTTTAAAATACCGGCATCTACATGTTAAATGAAGTATTGTTATAGAAGGAGTGAGGTCTGAAAAAATAGTGTGGAGACCAGCTGTTTCCAGGGACTGTGTGTGGACTCTGTAGGAATGACCCTCCCTGTCCCCCCGTGTGGCCCACTGGCTGTGACCTCGGGCACCAACCCTGACGCCAGAGTTTTGGGGGATGAGAGACATCGGAAAGGGTGAGAGAACAGCCCGCGGCCGGTGGCAGACGGCTGCCCCCAGGCCTCCGAGTCGGAAGTGTGCCCGGGAGAGAGGGCTGGTAGCCCCACTAGCGAACGCAGGTATATCCAGGTGCAAGCTCCTGATTTTTAAATGTTGACAACTCACGCATACGGCCATGAGGCACTGATCAGGCCAAACACCCCCACCAGCTGGTCCCTCTGCCGGCGGCCAGGAGGCCACCCCGGGTCCAGGCTCTCCTTTGTCTTCCCCGGCTCCCTAACTCTGGGCGGCAGAGGCACCCGCGGGCGCCGCGCCAGGGCGTGGTAGCCCCTCTGGGACCTTTCGGTGAATAGACGCAGCCGGCTTCAGAAACGTCTGCAGAAGTGAGCTCAGGACAGCGGGTCCTCCGGTGCCGTTCCGTTCTGCGTCATTTCACTGTGACGTCGGTGAGACGTGGCAGGAACTCGGCTGCCCTCGGGAGTGCTTAGCCAGGGTCATGTGGGTGACATTATGTGCGTCATTCTGCTTCCAGTCGCAGAGCCTGTCACCCAGCCCGGCTTTGCGACGACGAGGGCACCGACTTTGCTCATTAAAACCTGTGGAACTCGTGGAGGGTGGTGGGTATGAAGGTCAACACCAACCACATGCTGAGTTTCCTGGGTCGCCCTGATCGAGCTTGAGTTCCATTGGCAGGTCGTTTCCATACACCGCATCTCCTGGGGATCGATAGAGGGTTCTTATCCCTGGAAGGACAGCTCAGTAGACTTCTACTAGATGTTCCTGAGAAGGTCACTGCTGAACCGTCTCGGTCAGCTGGCACCGCTGTGGCAGAAGACCACGGGATCCGTGGCTTAAACAACAGACGTTTC